CATTCATGTCTAATCTTAGTAAGTCTGTAACAGTCCTGTGAAGATTGATTAATAATTTACCTAATGAATTGAAAAAAGGTATTGTTTTTCTAATGCTTACAAACCTTCAAATATTTAAGCATAACCTTAAATTTATGAATCAATTTCTTTACTTTTTATTTATTTAGCATGAGTGTGCGTGTACATGTGTGGGGGTGTGTGCATGCACAGTTGTGTAAACATACCACCACATATAACATAGAGGCAGAGGATAACTTGTGGAATTTGGTGCTCTAATTCTACTATATGGCTTCCAGAATGGAACCCAGGTTGTCAGGTTTGGCTACCTGTACTTTTACCCTGTGATCCATCATTCTGGCCCTAAATTTACGAATTAGTTGAATTATTGATAGTAGTGATATAAGATCCTTTGTTATATACTTAAGGATACATTTATAGCAACTCTACAGATTTTTCTGTAAGGTGTTAGGACTCTGTTTTCATAAACTGCCACTATAATAATAAAATAGTTTTACAACCATTCTTGGACACTAGCAAATAGTAAAATATAATCACAATTTCAATGATAAACTTTGAGATTTATTTCAACCAAGGAAGAATAATTGTGGTGCCTAATAACTTATTAAGTTCTTACAATTTCAATTTTTTCTTCTTCACAATGAAGGCTAATCAAAAATGCTAAACCTAAAATTCCCTATATTATTTCATGTGGCCCACATACTTGCGCATACCTTGTCCATAACCTCATTTTAATGACAACTTGCATTTCTTAAGATACATTCACTTGCTGAGCAGTGGTGGCACACGCCTTTAATCCCAGGCAGAGGCAGGAGGATCTCTGTGAGTTCAAGACCAGCCTGGTTTATAAGAGCTCTATTCCAGGAAAAGGCTCCAAAGCAACACAGAGAAACCCTGTTTCCAAAAACAAAACAAAACAAAACAAACAAATACATTCACTCTAAAAAGGTGAACATTTTATAACTTTAAGCAAAAATAAAACATTCAAATAATAGAGAGGAAAACTTTCATTTGTTGTGACTAGATATTTTAAGTGAATTTGGGATAGATTTGGCAGTGAAAATTTTAATCAGCATTGACACACATGGTGATACTATGAGGAATTAACATCTGGATGCTTGAATATGAGTTTGAATTGTGTGATTTTACTTGAACTCCTCTTTACATCTGGGGATCCTTATTTCAGCTATCTTCCCCAGAGGTGACCTTTCTGCTTTCCTCATTTGTGATCTTAATCTCCTCCCAGCCAGCCTCCTCTGAGACCTTCATCCACTATTGGTCCTTTGCTCTTGTGTCTTCAACTCGTTCCTCCATAGTGTCTTGGCCTCTTATTCTTTAAATATATACGTATTCCCATCCTGGTCTTGAAACATTTTCCTTCACAGCCCCATTCAGGCACAAACCTCTCAGTGTTACTGATGTATTTTCTTATTGTTCCATTAACCCATTCACATCTGACAAATATTTCTTCAGCCCTATAAAAAAATTGTTTCTCTGAGATACTAACAATTACTGTTCTATTTCCAGTGTCAATAGTATCAGTATTACAATGTCTCTCTCATACCCATGTTTATCTTTCCTGCCAGCTACAGTACTATGTAGCCTAGAAAACTTAGTGCATGCCCTATCTTCAGCATTCAATCCTAGCTGATGTTCTCAGTCAAATTGGTTCATTTTTTGCTCCAATACACCTTACTTTTGGTGGAATTTTGTACACAATTCTGATCTCATTCTGACCTGAGTCATATAATTGGTCCCTGAAGACTCAATCATTTTGAGGATCCAAATGATGTCATGAGTTCATGAAAGCTTCTGTCATTGTGATACCTACTCATTACATGATTATCTAGGGATCCCCAGTCCCCCTAAAGGTTATTTGGGTTTATTTTCCGAGAGACTTAGGGGTGTTCATCACATATTCATGTTTAAAATTAAAAGGTATGATTGGGTAGGGGATGTAGTCCAGGAGTTCCAGCAGTGACCACTGCCATAGTGTATGTAATGTCCTTGAGTATTAGTTTAATTCCTAGCTTTATAATGAAAATATAAATCAAAGCAAGCAAGTCCACTTCCATCATTATTTTCTAAATTGCTTGTCATGGATATCATCCTTGCTGGAATTCCTATTCATGAATATGTTGCTTCCCAAGAGCCAGTCAAATTGTGCCCAGACCTGCTCATCATCAGTCTTCAGGTACCAAAGTTGCCCTGTAGCTTATGACTGAGTGCTAGGTCTGTAGGTCTGTGTACACGAACACACACACACACACACACACACACACACACACACACACACACACACACTTTGGAGGGGTGCAGTAAGGATCCAATGCCTCTGACTCTGGGGCACTGAGGCAGCATTGTGTATCCACATAGCCTCACAGAGTTCTCAGTAAATATAGTTCTACTGACTCCTGGTTCTCCCCCCATGAGGCTCCAAAGTTAGAGATATGAATACAAGCAATTCTTTCAGTTGCCCTCATGTTGCCTTGCTCTTTTTGACACACACATAATAAGCATGTAAAATGATCTGTGCTTACGAGGGCTATAGAGAAAGGCGCTTTATGGTATTGTGCCACTATTAAGTTTGGCTTTGATGCCAGTGAAGAAAAAGAAATTCTGCAAAGTATTTCACTCGATTCCTAATGATCATGGATACTCACTGTGGACTGAAAGATGAATAAAGGCATAGTCCATGCTTTCAAGTTATTTCTGTCTCAAAAGACAGAGAGGCCAACAATTAGCTATTATGGAATGTCATGTCATGTATATGTGACATGCACTCTGGGAGACCAGATGTGGAACAGTTTTACAGAGGCTTTGAAAGGTTGTAGTTTAAAGTACTTATGTGCTAGGTTAGCTGGGGGACAGCATTGCTATGGCTATTAAAGGCAGTATTACAGTGGTTTTAAAGGTCAAGGTAGTTGGAGGGATACTGAGAGAATCCTGTGCGGTTAGTGAACATGAGCTTGAGAGTGTCTAGATAGGCAAGGCTATTCTGAAAGGCCATGTGTGCTGGTCTGAAGAGTGTGAACCCCATTCATCTAAAAAACCAAAGGTGTGGAAGGGCACCGTACACACACTAGGAAAAGAAAAACAGGAACTGTGTGAATGCCACTGAGAAATCACAGACTTCCTAAGTGGATCCTGGAGCAGGAGTTGAGCACCCAGATCCCAGAAAGGACATTTCCAATTTCCAGGGACTCCTGTGGAGACTGGGTTTTCCTTAAGATGTTTTGATCTTCCTTGGGTGAGAAATGCCAGATAAGACTCAGTTGCAATGGGTCCTCTCTTTCTGGAGAGCAACTCGCTTAATTGCCCTCGTGTTTTTGATTTTGCTTTTTGTTTGGAGGCTGGATGACATTGGTAGAAGGGCTTGTGTTTAATAGGAAGTCATTTACAACGCCACAATGAAAAAGTGGTTACCAGAAAAGTCGAGAAATTACTAGAGCACCACACAAGCTTTGTTTTCCCATTAACAACGTATCTGTCCGAATCCTCTTAGCAAATACAAAAAGGCTAAGATTTCAGACTCTTTATGGATCTGAAATCAAACATTATCCCCAAGCCCAAGGGAAGGCATTTCTACAGACTCTCCAGCCCAGCTAGCCAAATTGCCTGTAAGTGGACAGGTGATGTGGATGTCAGCTGGGAAAGAAATGACTTACTATAAACTCCAGGCATCTCTCACTTCACTCTCAGGAAATGTAACTTGTATCATATTTCTCTTCCTGGAAGATGTTCAGCAAGGCAGAGGCCTCGGTGATACTGGTAAATACGGAAGTTCTTTATAAACTCTGCCTCACACTTATTCAGAATGGAAGAATTAATTTGGAAACCATTTCTTAATGTTTAAAAATAGATTTTTTTCCATGGGGCCATTCATTTTAGAAGGAAAAATAAATAAACAAACGTCGGTCTTGTTAACTATGATCTGGAAAACTTGCTTTAGCTCTGCTGGAATAACACTTTCTAAAAGGCAGCTTTACTTAAGGCTCCGGGCTAGGGACTGCTTGAAGAGTTAGGACTGGGACCCATGTAATCAATAATTAAGCTTTTTGAACAAGTCATTGTTTCAAAACAAATTACACTTGATGTGGGGAACATAATTTACAAAGTGAAGTTTTTCTAGAACAACTACAGCCTCCTTTTTGTAGTTTATGAGCACTGAAGGTTTGAAAATGTGCAAAGCTCTCTTCTTTTTCATAGATTCCCTCTGGCCGCACATTCTTTATTCCATAGCGGGGAAGTAGGCAGAAAGGAAATGGGAATTTGGAGGTAGTTTTTCCTCCCGACCTCTTACTCTGTAGTTTGGTTTTATTTTTTACTTTGTGTGTGAGACAGAGGTGCTGTTGGCTGCCTAGCAGACTGTGATTCCTGTAGGAATATAGAAAACTTCACCAGACTGACCTTTCTATACAAGGAAATGACTTAATATACCAAGAAACATGAATCGATGACTTTTCACCATGATCTTTATTTTTCTCATCAGAGAAACATCTAAGCTTGTGATGGAGAATAAATCAATCTGTCTTACATTTCCTTCTCCCATAAAACACCTATGCCAGTACATATTTGTCTATATTTTACAAGTGACTTATTTTCAGTGTCATCTTTCCTGAATTTGCCAAACTTCCAGTGTTTGCCACCTGGAAAGGAGGTGGAAAGTGAAGCCTTGTTCCCTGGAGACAGTCCCTACTGGTTTCCCATTCATTGGTCAGCCAGGGATGCCTTCCAATTTGCTCAGCTGAAACTTTCCATCCTTGAGAGATGAGGCTCTTTACCTTCAATTAGTTAACTCCGTGGGTAGGAAGAAATGTCAGACCCTGGTTTGGGAACTTGGTGGATGAATGGGGTAGAATAGACATGGATCTGCACAGAGAACAATGACCCAGGATCTGTGCAAAGGGTCTTGGTTGGCTCATTGCTCAAAACAGTCAGATTTGTGATTGTTACTTTACATCCTAAAGAGTTATTCATCACCTCCCTCAGCTCTGGCAATCACACAGGTCCAGTGTGTGCATGGTGGATTTTTAAGCAAGAGAAGAGAGAGGATGACATTCCTAATGCATTACCGACCTGCCCCAAAGTGGCTTCTCTGTTCCTAAGGAGTTCATCAGCTCCATTGTGGGAAACACTTCTCTTTTTAAAAATTAAGCCACCAATCCCTTTTGATTACTATCCAGTCAGTGCTACCTTGGATGCCATCTCCAAGATATAGCTACTTGACCCCTGACCTCTGGATTGTGTTCACGAAGTCCACTTAAGAGGAATTCACTATCTTATGAAAACCCTAACCAAGTCTCCATTCAGATGGATGACCCAAAAGATGACCCAGGCTCCAGCCATTGCTAACACATAAGGAAGGGTTTTTATACAAGAAAAATAAAATGACTTAAATCTGTTTTTTTCCTAAGAAAAGAGGCATTCATCTTTTTAATTAGGTTACCATTCTGTTAGTTTTCTTCCCAGAGTGTTACAATCCCAATCCAGTACCTTTCTTCTACAGAATCCCAATCCAGTACCTTTCTTCTACAGAACACACAGACGCTTTTCATCAAAGTTCTTCAATACTTTTTGTTTCATTATGTAACTTGAGATTTTCACTCCTTCCTGAAAGTTGAGTTAAAGAAGTACTTGTCTAAAATAAATAAGTAATCTCTAGAGCTTATAAGGGAAAATAGTTCCGATTTTACCTTCTTTAGCATGTATCTTTCCTAAAACCCAACAGACTGTAATTAACCCATTTTGAAGATACTACTGAGTGTTTTATGATACTTCCTGGAGTTCTCAAATAACTGGAGGGGAAGGAACTGTAATTATCAACCTCAGGGATACCAGGCACCTAGGAAGTACAAATGTCAGAGTGAATATTTTCCTTAGAGACCAAATATGATTTGGTGTTGTTGCTAATATCATTGTGATTGTAAACATTGATTATTTTCCTTTCTTAAAATTTGTAAAATTTGTAAAATTTGTAAAAATTTGTAAAATTTTACTTTAAATGTAATATTGCATATTAATTTACTCACTCCCCCATGCTCAGGAAAAGAAACAGAGACTTCTCTTCTTCATCAGCGTTTGAAAAGGTTACTTTTCAGTCAGGTTAGTAATGATGGGGAGAATCTTATTTGCAACCAAGGAGGATATGAACAACTTGATAGCCTGGAAAAAACTAACCTTGAAATAAAGTGATGAGTTCAAGTCTCATTGTGATCTCTGCCAGGATCACAAGCTTTGTGGGTTTCTGCAAATGGCACAGGTCACAGTCCTGATGGTCGTTTAACAGGAACAAGTTGGCCATAGCCCTGTTTTCATGGAAATCATTTTATGATGGTTGTAAATAGGTAATACTTGTTTAAGATGTTAAATTATCTGAGACTCAGAAGATTGAAGAAAGTAGAGCAAGGCAATGTGTCAGGTAGTGACTGGAGCCAGGACAAATTTAAGCTTCTTAGAGAAAATGACATTTGAGCTGAGACAAGAATGATGAGGAGCACCCGTGTAAATGAAAACTCTAGAAAGACTGTCCCATGAGAGGGCACAGAAGACACAAAGGACCAAGGCTTCAATGACCACAGTGTATTCAAAGAATCAAAATCCAGGTCACTGTGGCAATCCATAGCTGCCACACCGAATCTGGGGTAGAAGGCAATGTGTTAGAGGCGGGACCTCGGCTTTTGGGCTAGCATCAGGAATGTGCCTTTTACTCTGCAAACTGAAGACATGTTCTAAAAGAAAGGTTAAGTAATTTTTTACTTTAAATGTTCATTCTATCTACCACGTGTAAGCCAGAATGAGAACAAGAGGAAAAAGAATGTGTCTAACCATGATAGTGTGACAGGAGTTCTATGGACAGAAGCTGACTTCTTGGACAATGGTCGTGTAGATGGAGAAGAGTAGATAGAATTGGGGTCTGTTTTGGTAGTGGAAGAAGTAAGATTTGCCAGTGGATTGTGTTGATAATGAAGGAAAGGCAAGAATTAAACTGACTTCCAGGGATGTGATTGGAACATCTGGGAGAATGACTGTGTCTCTCTTGAATTGTGGAATGTTGACAGAGAGATGTCTTTGGCTAGAAAAGCAAGAAGTTGAACAAAAGGATGATTTTGGCCTCCAAGTAGAGATGTCCAGGAGGAACACAGACCTGTAAGTCCAGGGGGAAGTTGACAAAGTTGACCAGGGTTTATCTCCCTTCTAGCATATCTCTTCCCCTCCCCCTCCCTATTCATCCTTCTCCTCTTCTTTGCTCCCTCTATGCCCCTGTCTCCCCGTCCCCTCCATATCCCAAGGTGACATTTTGAGTTCTCAGATCTCATAACAGCAGTGTGTCATTTTGGTCTAGCTAACTTAGGGGTGTTTTGAACTCCAAACTTGGTCTTCCTTCTGTGTTCTTTACCAAAATGTCCTTCCTTTATAATAATCCCTGCAGACCTCAGCTCTGTGCTTTCCAAAATGAGGACTGATTATTAGATAACCTGGTAGCAACATGTAACTGGTTTTCAATGTTGACTAGGGTCTGGGGTTAACAGAGCTTGTGTTTTATAAACAGAAGCTCTACCCAGGAAGAGCAGCCTACCAGTGGATATCAAGAACCTGGGCTTTCAGTGAAAGCACTGCTTAATCAGAGCGAATGCTGTCACCATCCAACCCTTTTTGACCCAGTACCATACATTTAAATGACTTTGGAAGTACAATTCCATTTCACAATAATTAAACAAACACAGGGTGGCCAATGCCATTCTCTGTCTCTTGCCGAGAGCTTTCTTACAATACACAAGCTATCTAAACTTTAGTATCTTATTTGTTCTTCCTAATGATATTAAATAAATTTTGCCTAGCAAGAAATCTCATTAATCACCAAGGCATAAAAATCACTAGAGAATATAGTTCATGTACAATTTGGATAAATATAGTTCTATCTGAAATTCTGAACAATGAATTCTTTCCCGGATACTTTAAATGCTATTTGTTAAAATGCAGTTTCGTATGTCTTAGTGTTTTTGTCATAAATTGTTCAATTTTAACTATATGGAGAAAATATTCACTCAGGCACATTTTCATTTGAAGTTTTTTTTCCCCACCTTTTCTGATGCTTCAGGCTTTTCCTCTGTGTAAAGTGGTAATTACAGACTTTAGTGGCTTAGCTTTGCCTATGATAATAGAAAAATGTAATTAGTAGTCTACTTATCATCATTCATATAACTCGCCTCACTACTTTCATATGAAAACATTTGGAGGATTAGAAAGAGGTGGCATTAGTCTATACTACTCTATTGTTAGGTCTCTGAAGAAAACAAGTCATTTTAAGGGTTAGTATTTTTTCTCTAAATGGAAACAGTTGTGGGGATTTGCTTTTGTTTTTGTTTTTTTGAGGCAGGGGTTTCCCTGTGTAGCCCTGATTGTTCTGGAACTTGCTCTGTAGACCAGGCTGGCCTGAAACTCAGAGATCTGCCTGCCTCTGCCTCTGGAGGGCTGGGTTTAAAGGCATGAGCCACCATGCCTGGCTCAGTTGGGTTTTTTAAATGATCATCAATAGGATTCATGCCTTTTGGAAAAATTGAGTAAATACAGAAGATACAAAGAAAAAAAAAAAAAGAACTCTTCCTCAATTTTGACAGCCAAAGGGAAACACTGTAATATTCAGATTTTTTTTTTAAAAAAAAATCTGTCTTTGTTGCCATCAAAACCCCACTGATGCAAGTTCTCAGATATGACACCATTTTCTGCCCTCTCTGGTCACTTGAAGGAGGCTGGTACTTGATGCTTGCTAGCTCCTCTCCTTCAGCTTCACACTATTGTCTTTCTCTGTGTGATTGAATCTGGGTCTGCTGTACAGAGAATGCCTGAGAACAGATGAAAGCTAAGAGATTTTTGCAACACTGAAATAAATGACAAGTTCAAAGTCTTTTACGACATGTGAATCATGAAACCTCAGCAACATCCTGGATGCTAGCCCCACGCTCAGCAGCTGACACAAATGGGACACCATGGAAGCAATTTTCCCTGGTACCTCTGGATAATTCAGCATAACTTTAATCACTATGATAATTAGTGATTTAAAATACTGATTTTATATTGATCGTTCTTGACTTGGAATGCTTATGGCCTCGCCGGTCCCTAAACATTTAGGTAACACGCTATAATGTGTAGAAAATAGACATAGAAAACACATGGTGGAGTAAATTCAAAATTCCATTGAGCCTTCAAGAGTAGGTTAACATTCATGCATGTGGGTAAAATTTATATGGATGATATTGGTCTAGAAGCAATGAATATAAAATAGGGCAAAGGCAGAAAATATTCCAGTGATAATTTATAGCATAGCTATATATATATTTATTTGAGTAAAGCTTAACAATATTTTCCTTAATGGCAATCTCACTGAATAAGCAACAGATAAGGTTTCTTATAGGAAATTACACTCCATACAAAAACATTCAGGCTGGATATCTTGGACATAGCAAGCTGTCATTATATCTCTCTGGTAGCACACAAGTAATCCAATATGGCCTCTTTTATAATAGAAACTTTGGCAAGGCCTAGAGAAACTATTCTGTGTCACACTGAGGGTTTGTGTGTGTGTCCTGTAAACACGAAACCAAGCTGGTAAGAGCAGATATCATTTTTAACATCTTATCTTTAAAACACATCTCATCTTTAAAGAAATTTCTCTTTAAAACTTACATTCTTGGCAAGCAAAATAAAATCAGTTTTTTGTTTTCAAAGACTGAATATAGATTTCTGAAAGAGAAATATGATAATTATAAAGATCTGTATCCACTGTGAATGCATAACCTTTATATATGAAGTTTATAAGTTTCACACTAAAATTAAGTCTGCCTTTAACTACTTTGTTGCTCATTCTCTTATTTCTTTAACACAAAGTCATCAGGTGCCCCATTGAAATGCTGATAGACTTTGTGGTAAATATAAATTCCATGTTTGCATTCAGTGTCAATCAGAGATGAGCACAGTGATAATCCAAGTAGAATATGACAAAAAAGTTGTTTAATTATTTTTGTTGTGTTACAAAATGACTTAAAATAACTGTGTTGTTGATGTTCTTTCTTCCACTGAAAGATTTAAAAGAAAAAAATCTGTTCCATTTAAAGCAAAGAG